AACTAACAAACTTTCTTAAGTTACTTTCCTTAGCCCTAAAAGAGCTCGCTGGAAGACAGCCCTGCTGTCTAACATCTCTTCCTGTTTACTAAACTGCTCTTCAGCAACTGGAGTCTGCTTTAAGCGCAGCTAGAAGCGACTAAACCGCAGCACAATAGCAGTACTATACAGAGAACACTCTCACTTTAAACAAATTGTACCTAGAACGGCCTCTGGCCAAAGTCTTACATAGTCACTGACTGCAGATAGACTCTAATGGAATAATAATAATAATAATAATATATGCCTCCGATGGCTGCAAATACAAACTGCACGCCGTTTCCAACGCTGCGCCGAGAGTCGCTTCGGAGGTTGTTGCTTTGGAAGGCGATGATGGTGGGGAGATTGGCATTGCAGCCGCTGACGCCTAGGAAGACGCCAAAGTAGCGAGCGCCGGAGTTAGAAGCGTATGCGACGATGAGAAGACCGGCAAAGGTAATGGCGGCGTTGAGCAGCATCCAGGGCATGCGGAGGCGTGTGCGGTCGGCCAGGTAGGCGCACCCTGCAGTCCAGAAGATGGAGGCTATGTAGGGGGGTGCACAGAGTAGGAAGACGAGGGCGGTGCTGCTGACAATTGTGCCCAGGATGATTTGGATAAAGTATGCAAAGGCATAGATGGGCGATGAGCACGTCAGAAACATCAGTCCGTATACCCAGAGCTCCCAGGTGGTGACGTGCTGGCGGAATTTGGCCCAGTGCAACCTGTCGGGGGTTGAGTCGCGGCGATCGCGCTCGATACGGTCGAGTATGATTTGCAACTCTTGCTGAGTGAAGCCTTGCATTTTGCCGCTTGCAAGCATCGTGTCTGGGAAGCCGATTACGAGAAAATATCCGACCAGCGCAATTCCAATGGTCGCTGCGCCTTCGATACTGATACACAGGTTAACACGGTGAGATATCGCGTGATGAATACATGTGTGTGCTCACATGAAAATCCAACGCCATCCCGCAATCCCATGAGTCCCATCAAGCTTCACGATAGCCCAAGCTAGGATATTTCCAAACGCAGAAACAAAAAGATTGATGAGATACCACCACGAGACGCGCTGCTGGATCTCAAAGCGCTGGTACCACGTACTCAGGAGAAACATACAACAGGGCAGGAATCCCGCTTCAAAAACTCCAATCAACATGCGACACACGACGATCAGGCGCCAGTCGCTGATGAATCCCATACCGAGCATGACAACGCCCCAGCTTACGGCTAGGCCATTCAACAGCATCTTGGGACCGATAGGGCGGAGGAGGAGCGTAGTCGGCATCTCAAAGAGACAGTATGTAATGAAGAAGACCAGCAGGGCGATGGAATACCGGTTCCCAATGTCGAAGCCAAGATCTTCGTTCATGCCTGCGACGCGTGCGTTGGATAGATTTACGCGGTCAAGCCCGGCGACAGAGTACAACAGTCCGAGGATGGGGATTAAGCGGTAGTCGACCTTTCGTAGCACCTTTGCTTCTATCCTTTTCTGGGCTGCGGGGATGTCATTTTCATGACTGTACTGAGCCACTGATTCGCCATGGGTAGTTTCTTCGTTTATGATCTCAAGTTGTTTGCGGTGTTCTTTCTCTGGTGAGCTGGATCGGTCGGTGTGTCGCGTCATTGCTACCCAGGGCGTTGCTTTGTCTCGCTATAAGACTTGGATTCCGGTCGCACAGGGCCTGAGTGGTCAGTGTGAGTGTACTTACTTCTGCGAAATACTGGATGTCAGAAGACTGTCAAGGTTGCTGTGATTGTATGGTACCTCCGGTTATTTCAAAGCGGATGAAAAAGTATAACGGCTGATATCATAAGAGCTGGAATCTCTCCAGTGTACAGACCAAGCATACGGGTATGCTCGGCGAAGCCAGGCTCATATTGGCCCTGTTTACACTGTGTGGGTAACCTTTGCCATTGCCACAATCAAGCCACCATCCCAAGGCAGCCATATTTATCCAATGAGATGCACTTGAACCATTTGAAGACGTTGATTTTAACAATAACACGTCGATCGGCGTCCGCTAAGGAAGTGGCTGCATGGAGGATTGTGGGGTAGGATATCGATATCCGAGACCGTGGTTTCGCGTGAGATCAGCTAGTGTTCATGTACGCATGGTACTCGCATAAGACTCTGCTCAAGAAGGAAATATTTAATCAGTGTATAGTCAATGGTTCTGGTCTGGAGATCTACTGTCGGTGATCTCCGGCCGTTGCAATGAACGCTAGCCCAGGGTCTTGTAAAGTGGGGCTATCTGAACTGACGTGCAACGATGACATCATACAGATTGCGTTAATCAACAGAACACTTCTCCATATACAAGAACAATCACGGCCAATGGCACAGCAGCAAAGATACTAAGAACACACATGGCAGAAAGCTATATTGGCGATTGCGAGATTACTCGAAACCATTGGTGGGAACAGAAACTTCCAACATCCCAGGTACATCAAACGTCATGTTGATCTATCCATCAACAAAAATGTTACCATAGCTACTTTGCCCTTCCCCATCATGACTCGGGGACTTCGTCTGCCCACGGAATACTCGACTGTGCGCCCTCTCTCTGCACTGTCATGGATGCAGCTCGATTTGCTTTGGCAATGGCAGCGTCAAGATCAAAGTCAGCACCCTGCGCCATGGCCTTCCAGCGCGCTACAGCAACAGTGTAGGCACCAGCAAAGGTGTCGCCAGCAGCGGTCGTATCGACGACTTGGACTTTGCGTGCTGGCACAATGACTCCTGGCTGGGATGAAGCTTGTTGCTTAGCTGTTTTGTAGTAGACTCCCTGTGTTTCCAGTCAGTGATGGTTCTCTGTTGATTAGAATGGAACATACCTCTCCTCCGAGTGTGATGATGACATTCTTCACACCCCTCGCAATGAAAACGGCTGCAACCTCATCCCAGTTGGTTGGCTTTTCGATACCGCTCAGAATCGCCGCCTCTGTCTCATTGACAATGAGGTGGCCGAGCCCCTGATACGCCTCTGCAGGTAGCGGCACTGCGGGCGCGGGATTGATGATAGTTTCCACACCCTTTTGGCGCGCAATCGCCATGTTGTGCAACACAACCTGCAACGGCAACTCGAGTTGAAACAGAGCCACACCCGCGTCGGCATCGACCAGATCCTTGACGGGCACCTCGCCGTTCGCACCGGCGTTGAACATGATGCGGTTCTCTCCCGAGCCCGTCTCAACCACAATGACTGCGACGCCCGTCTTCTTCCCCGGCAGAATCTCCACCCTGTCCGTGTTCAGACCATCGTCTCGCAATGCTTTCAAGAAGCCCTGGTGGAATTCGTCTTGGCCTACTGCTCCCACCATTCGCACCTCGACATCCGAGGCTTGCGAGGCGCTGGCTTGCGCTTTCGTGCGCGAGAGGCGTGCGCATGCTACGGCTTGATTGGCGCCTTTGCCGCCCCAGCCAATGTTGAAAGATTCGCTGGCGAGCGTTTCGCCGCCGACGGGGATACGCGCTGTGCGCGTGACAAGGTCGACATTTAGAGAGCCGATTACGGAAATGACTGCGGATTTGGACATGTTTGTTGTTGTTGTTGTATGCGTATGTTCTGTAGAATGAAGTTTTGGTGTTGATCAGGTGATGATGTAGTGTGGTGAGGCTCTTCGGGCCTTCCGAGGGCGCTAATCGTAGGCTAGCCGAGCCGTCGTCGGGATACTGCAGGAACTGTAGCTTCAACTGTATATTATAATCATCTACATGTTGTAGTTTACTTACGTGTTTTATGTTAGGGCTAATATTAAAAGAAGAAGAAAATTCATACTTATTATCTATACCAAGTACTTGAGATTATGTTTGTTCCCTAAATATATTGTATACCATGCCATGTTTCGAAAACCGCAGCAGCAGCACATGAAAATCACTGATGAAACAACCATTAGCCCTCCAACTTGGAGTTGCACATATAAACAATGACCAACACGCTCCTTGTAGCAGAAAAGAAAATCACATCTTGTTTTCCTCCTTGGCCAAGTCTTTTACAGATTCCTCGTCTTCGACAACCTATACTTTTCGTGTCAGTCGAAACACCCCCGTCGGAGACCCCCTCAATGGCATCTTAGTCTACGAGTCTGCCACGCTTATATCACCTCCTAGAGGTGATTTTGCTTGAGTTGCATATAAACAATTCCAGGGGCTGTAACAGTGCTGAAAAGAGGCGCAACTTTAGCTGTATATGTTGATATACGTCAGCTGACATGGACTTTTATCAAGATTTAGTAAAAGCTATGTTTTCAATATGTGCAAAGTATGATCGGACTATTTTGTATACAGTTACTAAAACTTTGTATTTTTTTCTATGAAAAAATCGTCTAGTATATCTAACTACAATTCACTATTTTAAACGTCTTACTATGTATCTATTCAATAAACAAAGGTAAAACTTGTAAGCGAATAAGTGTTACTCATTTCTCCTACTAGAACCCTACAAGACTGATTCTAGCATACAGCTAAAGCTGCAAGTAGCATCCATTCCCATTCATGTCGGCTTCACAAAGGCGTTTTTTTCTTCGTTTCACGGCACACCAAAACCATACAGAGATGAAAATAGTGAATTATGTAATATCTCATTACTCGTACCCGTGTTTCTCGTTTTTTTGATAAAATTATTTGGACCTCTTGTAGATCTTGCGGAGGAAAGCCTCGAAAATTTCCTTCTTGAGGCCCTCGCTTTCATCAATGTTGGCAATCTTTGTGCGCAGGTCGGCCACACGCTCCTCTTCCCACTGCTCGTAGAATTCCTTGAGCTTCAGCTCGTGGTACAGCTCCTTGACCTTGGCCTCCTTGTTGGCGTCCTTGCGGCCGTAGTTTTCCTCGAGCAGTTTGCGCTGCTCGGGGTTTACCTTCTTCAGAGCCTGGTTGATGAGCCACGAGCACTTGTTGTCGGCAATGTCGGTTCCAACCTTGCCGATGACAGCAGGGTCTCCAAAGGCATCAAGGAAGTCGTCTTGGGCCTGGAAATACTCGCCCATGGGGATGAGAATGTCCTCGGCGGTTTTCAGGTTCTTTGGTGTTGCGTTGCCGGTGTGGTGGAGAGCCAGGGCAACGGGAAGGTAGAAGGAGTAGTAAGCAGTCTTGTAGATGACGATGAAGGTGAACTTTTCCAGGCTGAAGTTGTCCAGGTTGATATCGTCTTCGGGGGCAGTCAGAAGATCGCAAAGCTGACCACACATGGTCTGGAAGCTGACTTCATGGAACAGCTCCATCATGTCGACGTAGCTCTTGTCCTGACGGAAATGCTTCTTGAGTAGAATGTAGATGGAAGCCTCGAGCATGAAGGAATCGTTGATGGCGAGCATGCCAACCTTGGGCATGAGGTACCAGCAGGGGCTTCCACGGCGCGTCTTGGAACCGTCCATGATGTCGTCCGAGACGAGGAAGAAGGCCTGGAGAAGCTCAATCATCCATCCCAGGAGAGCAGCACGGAAGTACTCTTCAGATGCTGGATCAAGCGTCTTGTTCTGGATGAGTGCCGTCGTGTCGACGACCGACATTCCACGGTTGCATTTTCCACCGACTGTGTTGTAGTTGAGCGACTGTGCCAGGCTGTAAGTATGGATACCCTGGCGCACGGCATGTTTGCGGAATGTACCTTTACAAACCAATCAAAAGACTGCTGGGGCAGGTTGTACTGCTTGCAGTGGTCCTGCACATCAGCGAGGATGCGCGGCCACACGCTTTCGAATTCTTTGAGTGTTGTTTTCATTGTGCTTGGAAATGCAGAGTTGTTTGCTTTTGCTGCAGCAATGTTGCAGGGCGAGGGGCAGAGATTAAGAGCGCGGAAGCGGTGTCGGGCGGCGCGGCTAAAGGTTTGGCCGCCCCATTAACTTTAGGCTGACCACGCCGTGCCTGCCATTTCCAGCGTGCGGCGATAATGCGATGCAGCAGTGCAGCAGCGCCGTGACCTTGATCGTAGCAGAGACATCCTTGCATATAAATGCAATACTGATTTCCAACAGATGAATTGCGGTGCGTGTGAGGGGAGCAGCTTGCATGTTTCGGTGGGGGCACTGCTTGTTGCAGAAGAGGGCGCCCCCACCCTGCCCTGCGTAGAGGCGGCCGGGCGCGCCAAGCGCCAAGAAAGGCAGCTCACCTACACGACGCGCCTGTCGTGAGTCGCATATCCACCGACATCACGCGAAGACAGCTCGGGGAATAACAAGAACAGGCCATCAGGCCACGCCCTGTTCTCCAGACAGCCGCCATGGGCGCATTATCGCAGGCCGACGAGGCCCAATTGAAGGCCCAGCTCGAGGACGCCGTCGTCAGCTGCACAGAACGCTGTCTCTACCACTCGGCCAAATGGTGCGTGCCCTGTTCCGCGACGACGGGCTGCTGTATATGCTGATGGCGACAAGGGCTGCAGAGCTGCTCGATTCCCTGCCCTCGGCCCGCGACGATGGCTCAGACACGGATGTCGACTCGCCCATGTCCGACGCCCATCCACCACGCACTCCAAACCCAGTGCCCAAGGACCCGACCGAAGCCCGCCTCGAGGCCCGTGAGGCGCACAAGTTTCTGCTCGCAAAGACCTACTTCGACTGCCGAGAGTACGATCGATGTGCCGCCGTCTTCCTCCCCGGGCCCCTACCCAAGGCTGCATCCCAGGCACCCGAGACGCCCACGTCCAAGTCGAAACAGGCAGCCAAGGCCAAGGCGACCATGTTTACACCGACAAAGGGAAAGCTGTCCAACGACACGGTCAAGGGCATCAGCCAAAAGTCGCTCTTCTTGGCCCTGTATGCCAAGTTCATTGCCGGTGAGAAGCGGATGAACGAGGACAGCGAGATGATACTGGGTCCACAAGATGGAGGTGTCACGCTAAACAAAGAGCTGCCCATGGTCTCGACGGTGCTCGAGGAGTGGTTCAGGGACCTTCCTAACAGCGGGCGACAGCCCCAGGGTTGGCTGGAATACCTCTACGGCATGGTACTGGCCAAAGGGAAGAACGAGCAGCTCGCCATTGACTATCTCGTCAAGAGCGTACACCAATACACGTACAACTGGGGTGCGTGGCAAGAGCTGCAGGCCCTACTCAGCACCATGGAAGATCTTAACCGCATTGTTGCGCGTCTGCCGCAGAATCTCATGACTTTCATCTTTCACGTCACATCCTCGCAGGAGCTGTACGTTGTGAGCGAGCAAATACACTCGTCACTAACGCAGATCCTCTCCATTTTCCCCACCTCGGCATTCCTAAAGACGCAGCGCGCTTTGCTGCACTACCACAACAAGGACTTTGACGATGCCGAACAGATTTTCTCGGACCTTCTCATATCCGATCCGCATCGCGTGGACCATCTAGACAATTATTCCAACATCTTATACGTCATGGGGATGCGGCCCAAGCTCGCATTCCTAGCCCAGCTTGCTACGGCTACCGACAAGTTCCGTCCCGAGACATGTTGCGTAGTGGGCAACTACTACTCGCTCAAATCGGAGCACGAAAAGGCCGTCATGTACTTCCGAAGAGCCTTGACGCTCGATCGCACATTCTTGTCTGCATGGACGCTAATGGGCCATGAATTCGTTGAAATGAAGAACACGCATGCGGCTATCGAATCATACCGGCGGGCTGTTGACGTCAACCGGAAAGACTATCGTGCATGGTATGGCCTCGGACAGACGTATGAGGTACTGGAAATGCATTCATATGCACTCTTCTATCATCAACGTGCTGCTGCTCTACGACCGTACGATCCAAAGCTTTGGATGGCCGTCGGACAATGTTTCGGCAAGGTCGGCAAAGTCATGAATGGGATTCGCTCTTACAAGCGTGCACTAGTCGCTGGTTCATACTATGACGGCGGTGTTGGTGCATCATTTGGCAGTGGCGAAGTTTCGGGACTTGGAGGAGGCGTCTTGGACCCGGAAGTGCTCTACCAAATTGCTTTACTGTATGAGCGCATAAACAACATGAATGAGTGCGCAGCTTACATGGAGCTGGTACTCGCACAAGAAGAAGGGCCCGAATACGAAGAGGCTGGGGCTGAAGGTGCTGGCGGCGTTGGTGTGACTGCTACAACAAGCAAGGCTAGATTGTGGCTTGCACGCTGGGAGTACATGCGTGGCATGTACCAGCGGGCAATGGAACTTGCAAACGAGTTGTGTCAAGACGGCGTCGAAGTCGAGGACGCAAAGGCACTCGTTCGTGATATCCGGGCACGTATGGAACGAGCCGGCGGAGACGAAGCGGATGGATAACCTTCTATACTTTGGGCATAAATGAGCATTTGCAGGCGTACAGGCATGATACCCAAGCAATCAAAACACTGAATCTCGAGTACGTATCATATATGTTATTACATTTTTACAACTGCGCGACTGCGTCGGTTCTTCACAAGAATATGGTTCTTGGTGGTGATCTTCTAGGATTGAATAAGTGTATAGGTTAGCTTTTCTTCAATTCACAATTGCTTTTTCGTAATCGTGTCCAAGGGCAACTGGTTGAGTTGAAGTTGAACTAACCGTATAACTCAACATCTCGTGTTTAGTGCTGGGATTTCCTGTAATCCATGCCGAGCCCTGTCTTGTATCTATTCCAGTTGCATTGATTTTGACATTCTTTAAAGAGGTATCAGACCATGCAGAGAGACACGCTGTGCATTATATGCAAGTTACCCAAGCTCCTACCGCTTTGGAATATGCAAAGCCCTCCGGTCCAAAGCCAATATCCACAGTAAACGTCTTAAATAAAATGTCTGAATTGCGAGTCTAAACGTCGATTGCAGAACTTACGCCTCCATGCCGAAGTGCTTTTTTTTGTTTTTACTTGACTTGGCGATAAGTAGGTAAGATATACACCGTCGGGCCGTTTACCTTGACAACGGGCACGGCACGGGTATGAAAACGCAACGGCCCGTCCCTGGATGCCGAGAATCCCAGCCAGTCAGCCAAGGAATCATTGCCCACTGATATGAAAATGGCGGGGTTTATGTTCTCTTTTTTTTCTGCCTTTTCTTTTGGTGTGTAGCTGAGTGGTGTTTCGCGTGATACTGATCCATTGTGAATGGAAAAGTTACTAGATAGTGATAATTTTGCTTCTGGTTGGCTTTCGGTGTTGTTGGTTTGGTTCGAAGCGTATGATTGTGGTGTTTATGTAGATAGAGAGTTTTCTGAGGCCGGAATTTAGAGTGAAATATGGAAAGTGACAAGGTTACGACAAGTAGATATAATGTATCGACCATCTAGCTCGTTCGACTTACATGTGGCAATTAGATTGAACACCCGAGTAAATGGTTTTGAGCAAGCTGTACTACGCTGCAACATGCTACATGTACCTTGGTGAAGTATAGCAAAGAACCAACGAAAGCCATGCATCTATAGCACTTCTGAACATTATAAATTCATTACACATTAGATCGCTTGCGCATACACTGTACCTGCGATTTGATGCATCATTCTGTTACCAGTGACGTTGTACTAAATGCTGATTGTTTTGCGTCAATATAGCTTACGTGTCCACGTAACGTGCGTTGGTTTCCACTTCAATTAATATCACTGGCATTTTGCATCATGATAAAACTTTCTGCTCACATCCCTCTTTTTATTATTTAAGTAACTTCCATGAGAAAGCTAGAAATTACGCTTCACACTTGTGCACCCCCTGCAAAACAAATAGCAATCGTACTCGTTCACTATAGTAAACTTCCGAAGTCTACGTGTATTGAAAACGGCCGATCTGACACGTCTACACGTTCTCATTCACAGCCAAGGGCCTATTAAACCTCGCTAAACCGTCATTCTTACTTCCTCACTAAGCCTGCAAAAGCTATCCAAATCCTGTGACATTTCCAACAAATCTTCACGAGAACTCAATCACCAAGCAAAACCCCAAACATGTCCAGGGCATATCGTAGTCTAGAAATCGACAGCTACACGCACCCCTGGTCAGTATACCAAGTGAGCACCGGTTCCAGTCCCGAACTGTACCGCGTCTCGCACGAGATTCAGGATGAGCTGCAGTATGGAATCATCACGCCGGCCCAATCCAGAGCATTACGCGCAACACTCGCGCGCATCGAGCTCGTCCTCGAAACAAGAGAGGAAGCACTCAGATCGCGGCCCCTGATCAATTTCGAAGCGCCACCACCACGCGTTTCGCCCGTCCTCGCACCCAGGTCAGAACCTCCACCGCAGTACGTTGTCGAGACACGAGCTCCGCAGAGAGAAATCGTTACTGTTGCACAGCCGACTGCGCGGTCGGTCGTCGTGACGCGCGGAGAGGGCCCCATGCATATCATCAGGTACAATGAGTATGGTGTTTTGGTCGAGGACCGTGATGAGACTGAGGAGGAAAGGGAGGAGAGGGAGTATCAGGAGTGGAAGAGGGCGAATCAGCTATAGGGATTCGTAAAGGCCGCCAATCGAGGGAATGGGTTATGTGAGATGAATTGTATAGGCAGAATGTAGAATGTATGATATCGAGATATGGAAAAGGCGAACCTAGTCTGCTTTGTGACACTACGGATTCAATATGCTTGTTTGATTCCAACTTGTACGTGGATTTTCTATATTTATTATCATTCTAGAAATGACTTCGTGTATGGGAGATTGCATATCTTCTCCAGAATGCAATATCTCGTTGAGTCTTTGTGCAGCCAGCCCAGCAATGCGAGGGTCAGTTTCAAGTTGCCCTGTTCATTTCAGTGCACATCTATCCATTGCCCATGGAAGTCTTTACAGCTCAGCCATGTGAAATTTACAATATTCAAGGAGAAATTTCGTTTCGAAAGCCGAATATAGACATCTCGTGGGTTTACACGGTCGGTTTATCGAATTTCAATGCTTACGTTATCTCGTGATGTACTGTGAATAGTCCCAGTCTTCTTATACTACGCAGGAAAACATATCCCCAATCAATGTTAAAATTCTAAACCTCTTCACCGAAAGACTACGCTTGAATATTCACTACCAACTTCTTCAAAAACCCACATCTAGCACCCATCTTCCTCCAACCAACCGTTCTCAATACCCAGCGCTTATCATTCCACATTCGACTACCAACCTCCCACCATGTTCCAGAGTATGTTTAGTATCCTCAAGCCGCAGCGGCATCCCATGTGCAACAGCTACCTTTCCAGTCTCGACGACGATTCACTGGTCGAAATTTTCAACAAAGTCCTCTCGCACTTGCTGCGATGCCAAAACTCCGTCTTGCTCAGAATAGCACCCGTCGACTGGTTCAATTTCATGATCACAGTCGATCGGATTATCAAGATCCTCATGGCACGCGGCTGGAGCATCGGCACAATCATGCCCGAGTCTGCGAACCTTTCCTTTTTCCAGCAATCGCGACAGACGCTGTATACCGAGCAGCCACAGCTGAGCATAGAGTATCAAGAGGCTATGCCGTCCCAGGAAATCATCATTCACCAGCAACGAACACATATAATCTCTCAGCAGCCAAACTCCCTCATCCAAGACAAACACCCCAGCTTCCTAGAAAAGCAAGAAACACAGCGCGAAAAAGACGAAAAAACGCTAAGCAAGTACAAAGACGAAGCAGCGCGTGTGCAAAAAGAAGATCTAGAACGCGCATACCAAGCCGCTGAGCAAGAAAAACAAGCCAGTATCCGCAAACTCCAAGTAGCAGAGGAGGCAGCAGCAAGGGACCGCAGAAACGAAGCCGAGACAGAGCACAAGCAGCGACAAATCGACGAGCTGAGACGCGAAAAAGCAGACTTGGATCGCAGGATACGCGAGCAACAGATGCAGGCTGAGCAGGATAAGCGTGAAGCTGCGAGGAGACGAGAGGAAGGGGAGCGACAGCGCCGCGAAGCTGGTACGATAGAGGAGGAAGAAAAGTGGCGCCAGATAGAGTACGAAAGGAAGCGCACGTATGAGATTGAGCGCGGCACAGATGAGTATAGGGACGGTAGGGCGCAGCGCGAAGAAAGAGCGAAGAACAAGGCATCACAGCACCCTTCTTACATCAAAGATACATGTAGCGTGCACACCACACAAGCAACACTACAGCATGAGCTTCGTACAACCCATACACTCCCCTCCTCCCCCTCCTCCCCCTCATCTTCCTCATCCTCATCCTCATCCACCACTCTCCACCGCGACCCCTACAAACTCCTCGGCCTCCTCTCCCGCTCCGCCACGCCCCTCCTCGACATCCGCGCGACACGAACCGCACTCATGCAGATCCACAGCGCTCGCCTCGCCTCGAGCAGCGCCTCCGAAGCGCACAGGAAGACCTCCAGACGACGCATGGTGGAAATCGAATGGGCGGCAGACATCCTGCTTGATAGCGAGAAGAAGCGCGCGTTTGATGAGGCGGGGGCTGTGTTTGAGCATGAGAGGAGGGCGTGGAGGGACAAACGTAATTCTGTCATCTAGACGCATTTGTGATGTTGACAAGGACTGATGATGTTGGGAGTGGGGGGGGGGGGTTTAGCAGCAATGCTGGGGCTGGCGAAAGTGTAGCAAAGTACATAGTCTAGGTGTTGCGCGTATATAGACTTGATTCTCACATTACTTACTACTAAGTGCCAAAAAAACCCCTCCCCCCTTTTCTATACGAGGTACATATATGGAAATGAAAATGCTATCTCATATATAAATGATTGAAACATACCTAAATACACTACTCACCTATTTCCACCGCGCAAAGCAAAGCAAAGCAAAACAAAACAAAACAAAAACAAAATAACCCCTCTAATCTAATACACCCCATACCGCTGAGTAACTACATCTACATACCTCGCTCCCCCTGCCCGCTGGTCCAAACATGGCCATCCCGATGTTCGAAAGCGGGAGCAGGATAAACAGATGAGGTAAGTGATCATGTTCACATTGCAAGACCAAGACCAAGACAAGAAGGTCAAGTAGCAGTATTTGTAAGCCCACAAGATGCGTGTTCAAAGTAGGGAACGCGACTTCACAGACAGCGAAGCAGATGATAGAGTATGTGTAATCGAGTTTTTTTTTTAAAAAAAAAAAAAAGCCTCGTGATTTCCCTTGGA